GTCTGATGACTCCTCATCAAACGCATTGGGCTCACACTCGGAGAATGACTAGCTACCAGACATCTACAAAAACAGGGAAAAAGGAAACTAAGGCTCCTGCCGGATGCTATCCTACCGTCCCTACACTCCTACCTATGGCGACTAGACTACCGAATGGAACCCTATGATCAGTCTAGTTCAAACCAAGGAAGGACATAACTCTTAAGATAAATAAGGGAGTAAGTTGAAGTTACCGAACGGTACCTTAAATCGAATTTTGGATAAGAAACGTGAACTGCGCTACCTATCGTCTCGTCGGAAATCACTTTTCTTGCCGTTGGCAAAGTCGGAAATCACCTAGCTACCGTTAGCCCTTGACGGAAATCACCTTGAATGCTGGAAGCTCTCGTCAGAAATCGCCTCAACAGAGCTCTCGTTTCTCACGAAGTGCAAAGTGATTTCGCCTCTGGGGTCATCTCTATTTATAGGGAGAGGAGTCGCAACGGTACACCTCGAAAAACCAAACGGCGCATTAATGCGCCGCGCACCATGATTACTCTCACCACGTGTCGCTCATCCTATGGGGTACTGACAGCACGCGAGGCACGGAAGACGAGGCGCTCAGATGTCCCTTCACCCGTCCGCTCGATGCGACCTTCTGACTTCCCCGACGTCAGCCTCCGAATGAACAAGAACGAAATAGCCAAAATTAAGCCCCTCCACCAGCTGGATTACTGAACGGTAGGGAAACATTCCCTTCCAAGGACAAATTCAAATCCCCTTCCGAGAACTCTCGCAAGAGGACTTGGGGGACTCCTGTTTATACCAAAATGAACAGCCAATGAACATCGGACACATGGACCAAACTAGAGCTATGGGAGCCTTCGGCACCTAGCTTCGGCATCATATCTACCGATCGCTCGATTAGGGCAACCTTACCTCCTAGGACACGTGGCAGTCCCACAATTGATGTCCACAGTCCCGCATCGAAACTCTAAGCAAATTGCACACCTCCCAAGGCCTATAAAAGAGGACAACTATCCCAGCTTGGAGGTAATCAATCAGAACATACGGCATACTGCCTATCGATCTGTAGTTCAATCTTATCAACTCCGTACTTATTTAAGCATCGGAGAGCCTTCGGCCGGTACCACATCGGTGTCCTAGGTCTTACTGAGCGTTTGTTATCTTGCAAATCAAACGCCCTACCGAGGTCCAGAGCATACCGAAGGCCCAACATCTCTAAGTGACGCGGGAAAGTGCCGAACCATTTTTCTGCATCAACAAAACCCAACCCTCCGTTACACTTAGGACGACAAACCAAATTCCACTGACATAGATGAACTTTGGTTCTTTTTCCACTGCCTCCCCAGAAAAAATTTCTATTCAACCGGTCTAGCTCATCACAAACACTGACATGGAATTTAGTAGTTTGCATAGCATAAATAGGAATAGAGGAAGTCATATCCTGCGTAAGAAAGAAGTTTACCTTTCTAAGAAGCCAACCGACTGTGCGCCCTATCCAGCAGCTTCTTATATGTAGGATGAGTACCCCTTCCATGAAGAAGAGGCAAAAAAAATTAGATGTTTTTTTTAAAGTCATTGGACCTCATCTAAATTAGGTGAAAATTAGGTTATTATCTACCACAATAGTAAATTCCCTATGGAGTTTAAACCAAAGCTCCCTTGATTCTATAGGGTTAGGAATATGAGAAAAGAGGGAAGAGAGGAACTGAAAAATAATTGATTGTAGGTAAACAGAGAACATGATGGATTAAATAGAGAGTCTGTTCCATGGAGAAACTAGGAGAAGAACCAAAGGTCTTCTAAAAGGAGGAAAGCGTGCAATTTTTTCTACAATGAGGAACCGTGTTTTTTCTTTTTAATTCCAGGCGTGTATTTTTTTTTGGGGTTAGTTTGAGTTCCTGTTTAATTATTTAGTTGTGGGCCAACTTGTATTGATTTTATTTGGGCCCTTTTATTTTCAGACTCTTTACATATGTATTATGGGCCTACCAAGTTATACATGGTAAAAATTTGGGGCCCCATAAATTGGAGGCCCATGGCTGTTGCTTTTGGATCCCAAGCTCAAGGCCGGCCCTGTTAAGAGATTTCGAGGAATCCCCGTCCCCGTCAAAGGGCTATCTCCCATCCTCGCCCTGAATCCCTTATTCTTCCATGCCAAAATGGAAGAGCTCCAAGGCTTAGCCCATTTGTTAAAAATAAAAAATAAAATAAAAAAATTGCAGGTATGATCTTCAATAACTAAGGCATCTAAAAATCCATAATTTATCAAATCATATCAATTATACTTGTCCACATTGTTTTTAGGTTTATGAGCTTTTGTGGTATATTAAAATAAGTATTTTGTATTATCATAAAATGTGATGATAGATTTGGTATGAAAAGTTGATTTTGATTGACCCATCACAATCCCGACCCACCTCCCACCTCAAGAACGAACCTCATTCTTCTAATATCAGCGTCAAAGGGGGCAAAAACAAAAGCAAGGCAATGGCAAAGATAACTGCAACGGCCATGATGACTACAACGACAAAGGCAAAGGCAAGAATAAAGGAAAAGGCAAAGACACAAACAAAGGCAACATCAAAGACAGGGCTAAGGAGGGGCCGCCAGAGTCGACTACTGTGATACCATGTCAAACAAAATATATGAGAATTTTCTTATACGTATTCTTTTCCAATATTAAGGTATTTATAAAGATGTACAAAATGGTAAACCCCTAAAAGGGTTAGAAATCCTAATTACAATAGAATTATACAAAAGTAAGTAATTGCCAAAAAAAAAAAAGGAAAATAAAATTTATTCGTGAAATATTCTAGTGAACACCACACACCTCAAGAATGAACCTCATTCCTCCAATATCAGTTATCAAGAATCATAATAAATGATTTTATAAGCGCCTTGCCTAACTTTTGATTCTTCTAATGACATGTTTACTAACTTAGAATTGGAGAAAATATGAATCGGGGTGAGCATGGGTCGCTCCAAGGTGGTATTCCTTATATTAGTAATATTGTAAACAAGGGAGTAGTCATGATTGGAGAAATTATATAATGGTACGGTATCACAACGTCACCTCGTGATACTCTCATTCAAAATTTGCTACATATTATATTATTATAAAATAAAAATAAAAACTCTTTATACAGCTGGATTTAAAAATCTATTTTACATTTTCAACTTAAAAAATAAAAGAACTTGAAAATGGAAAGGAAAAAGGAGCAGCCCTAATTAACAACCACATTTCTCGCGGACAATGCCCTCTACCGTCATTGCCTGCCATGGATGTCGCTCATCTTTGTTTATTCCCATATTTCATATTTCTTCACCTCAATTTCTCAATACAACCTTAAACATGAAAAGGATGCTTGAGAATCTAGCAGACCTAATAATTACACCTCGGTCTCTCTCAATCTAGGATTCAACAAAATATATTGAGGATCCATAAGGAGGTGGGTTTATGGTTTTAAGGGATATGTTGAACCCTTTATGGTCTTGCAAGGCCAAGAACATACAATTTTGAAGTTCAAGAAGTCTAAAATCTTCTGATAGATTTCAATGGCAGGCAGTTGGGGTGGGGCGTTGTAGAGAGGTGTTTGTTTGTCTGTTTGTTTTTTTTTTTTTTTCAAATTTTTTTAATTTTAAAGATAAGAATTAAATTCAGCTTGCAAAAACTTAAGACATCTGCCACTCCCATAACCACCATTGTCGTCGGCAACACTGTTCTGTGCCTGAAAGAGCAAGAGCACAACTTGGGTTTGGTCCTACCAGCACTCAAGAACATTTATCACTCTCTTACAAGGTGGGGTCTTGAGAAAGATATCAAAGTCTCAGCTGCTTTCTCTTCCGGCTGTTTAAACCAAAAATCTGGTTTCTATAGAGAGGATGTAGCTGAGAAATTTGTAAATTTTGTGGCCTAAAATAATCCCATAGCCCACGTGATCACCGTATCTCATCCAGATACCATTAGTTAACAGACATACTTGATACCCCACATGTCACACCAATTAAAAAAAATACAGAACACAAACTAACCCCGCACCACACGGGACCACCCCTAATACAAACTAATATAATTTAATTCTCTCTTGCTGAGTTACCCAACCCCTGCTCTTCGAGACTTCGACCAAAGAGAAAATCAAAATTCCATGTCGCTGCTGCTGCATGCCAAAGACCACCCATGTTCTTGAAGACTTACTTAAAGCAAACTAAGGTAATCTTCAATCCTTCATTTTCTTTAATTTTCTTCTTTAAATCTGTTGACGTTGAAATTTTAGAGATTGTTTAGGGTTTATGAAGTATAATTAGGGATTTACAATTGAGTTGACATTCTATACTACTTGATTGATAGATTGATCTGTTTGGTGCTAACTCTTCATGTGTCTACAACAACAACAGAATGAGCATTTTCATGTATGAGACTTATTAAAAATCAAATTCGGAACAAGATAAGTGATGAGTTTCTTGTTGATTGTATGTTACTTCATATTGAAAGAGAATTTACTAATAATATAGATAGTGAATCAATAATTAATGATTTTAACTCTGTGAAGACTCGAATAGTGCAACTTATATAAGTATTATTTGTATTTGCATTTTGCATTGCATGTTTATTTCTTGTTGTTGTCTTTTTTTTCCTTGCTAGTTTCTATCTATATGTACTCTGCATTTTGGGGGTTTGCTATCAATGAAATGCACTCGTACCGTCGAATTTTCTATAGGTTTGTACATAAGGTAAATTTAGCCCATGATATTTTGAAATCCTGGTCTATCCCTACGAGCTAACATGGTAATACCGTATCATTCTATAATTTCTTCTAATAACATATTTTTATTAGCTTAGAATTAAAGAGAATATGAATCGGGGTCACTCCAAGTTGATACTTATATTAGCAATATTGTAAACCAGGGAGTAGTCATGACTGAGAATCATTTATGTTCGCTGCTTTATGTGAATAGTGTCAGAATATATAACCAAAAGTATAGCATTTTTGGAGAAAGCCCTCACAATTTCATTAGGTAAATCATCCACCTCCTTAAACCGATTCCAATAACCCATGTGTATTGGGTTAGAAAACTTGAGCACCAAGGACAAGCAAAACAATACAATATTGGAAAGTACTAGAAAATCTAAAATACTATAAGGTACTTCTGCAAATCCTACTTTGCTTTGAAACATAAAACCAAGGTAACATATTCAGAAAGTCAGCAAGCCTAGTCGACCGACAGTGAAGGACAGGCACTGGTAGGCCAAGCTATGTCTCAAACTCTTTCAAGTTACTGTGAAGTATCCATCATTTGACTGGTTAAAGCCTTTCGTCGCTTTTGAGACTCAGTTGGTGTTTTTACATCTGTTGCCAATCCAAGGAGTTGGAAAAATCTTATTACATACCAAGTCAAGTCAATTTGCCACCATTCAAAACCTTGTCGAGCGGAATAATCAAAAGCATGATGATTGTTGTGCCATCCTTCTCCAAGTGCAAACAAACCCAACCACCTAAACGTACAATCGCAAAAAAATATTTAATATCCCTCATCATGAAGAAGAACGTTTAATAATATCCCAATTTTCATATTTATTCAAAATGTACCAATTGTTCCTTGACATATCACCAGTGTGATATACTTGTTTACCCCACAAGTGACCAGCTGAATTTACTAACAAAGTACTGTGGAAAACGCATACCATCCTTACCCCCTGCAATGTAAAAAGAAATTTATGTTAAATTTTAAAGAGACGAGTCAGAAATCCACTTCTAACGACACCGAGGCCTACACCTTGAATATTGGATTGATGTATGGTTCATGACTATTTAATCTTTACGTCAATCAAATATTCCAATGGTTTGGTAAAAGCCACCAAGAAAACCTTAATATGGTTGGAACATTTATGGCCTTTTATTTTTAAAAATAAATAAAGAAAGAAAGGAAGAAATCTCACCATCCCCCATACCAAGAAGGGAACTCCACCGGCGGCATATAGTAAACTTCCAAGTAGAACAACTGAATGCAGAAGATAAGTACGATGAAGAAACATATAGAAGGGTTGCCTTTTCAAATCTTCAACGTTCTTCAGTCCTCCATACTGCAAAAGTTTCCATTTAGAACTTGAACAAAATTATAGTGTAAGCAAATATATTTGTTCTAGAAAGAGAGAGAGTTGGGTTTGGTATTTTTACTTTTCCAAACCGAGAGCCGCTATCGAGGATCCAACCCATGTGACTAAACCAAAATCCTTGACGAGGACTATGAACATCTTTCTCAGTATCAGTAAACTGGTGATGATATCGGTGTGAGCTGACCCATTCTATTGGACTTCCCTGCAAAACCAAAAAAGCAAAACACAAACCCGTACTTGTAATGTTTTTTTTTCTTTTTTTATACAAGAGATAATGTACTTTAATCTAATTTAAAGTATAAGAAGGGAGATTCGAACTCGGGTACAGAGCAGGGATCACATCAGCTATAGCCAACATGTACTTCTCATGTATTTAGAATAATCAATCTACTGCTTATACATGTCAAATCAGATAAAAATAGCCAAAAAAATGAGAACAAAAAATGAAGCAAAATTATGTTGCTCAACGTTAAAATTCACATACCTGAAGTGAGAGAACCCCGAAGTAAGCAAACAAGTACTCGAGCCATTTCGGAAGACGAAAACTCTTGTGAGCAAGATTTCTATGGAAAGACAAAGTCACTCCTAAACCCGTCACAAGATAGAGAGCACAGGCCACCCAAAACGCAGGCCACGTGAAATGAAACGGCGCTATCACACAAAGGCAATGCAGAATGAAAAACACAACTGCAGTGGCTATGTCTAGTGAATTCCATTTCCTTCCCCAAAATTCTAGGCAGGGCCTCATCACAATATTAACCAAAAGCCCCATCGATCCTCTTTCAAATATCTGCACTGCACAAGTTGTAAACTAGATGCAGAAGCTTATTTATACCAACTATAAATAATGGACGTACGTGATATTATAAAAAGTTGGTTGCCTGTTCCTTACAGTAAAGTAATTTAATTAATACAGCTTCTTTTGTCAGGATAGGGTAGGTAAATGCTGAACCAATTTAATACCACAGTTTTGACCATTATTAGGAATTGTGTTGGTGGATGGATTTGAAAAAGGATTTAACTAAACTATTTAAATGAATATGAGAAATTAGATGGATGAATTAGTGACACCATGTGTCGCGGTATTAGGATCATAAGGAAAATTGTAACTTATCTTCTACTTTAAACCTCATACATTTCTCAATAATACTAGACACATGATATTTAGGACTAATGATGTTATGATACTTAGACCCAATAAGCAATTATCATATAATGTGTCACATTTCATTCACAAAAAAATTAGTACGTCGCGTTAATTAGTTTTTTTATTAAACAATTTTTGTCGATGAGATTTGAACTTAAGAGACCCTCCTCCAACAAAGTGAATACTAGTGTCACTAGACCAAGAACATTAGTTGGTAATAAAAAAAGTTAATATAATAGGTGGTGTTTCCTACTAATTTAATATACATTTTTAAGAAGTCCATAAATTTCTAGGAGTATTTAGTGAGGATATATATAAAGCACACTACAAATATATGAGATAAATTTAATAACACTAAAAATGGTACCATTGCAATATTCTCAAAGAGATCTTTAAAAAGAGACTAGTTTTGAAAATATTTGAAAAAAATTAGTAATTTATGTATTTTTTCTATTGCATTGAACTATTGAACAACCATTATGGATGCTCTTAACAACATAATGCATTAATTGCTGTATTTTTTATATTTTTTTTATTGGCATATTGATTCCATGGTTAGCCTACTGCAATTGCAATAGAGGGTTCATCACATAGCACCATCTATTGCAAGTGAAATTTTACTGGTTTAGTTCAATTTCATGTAATAAAATTAATTGATCCTAATCATTGCAGATGCTCTTATATGCTATTCCATCTTTTAAATTTTCTTCATTTTGAAATTTCATGTACTATCAAAGTTTCTCATCGAAACGCATTTTCAATAGCTGCCGTTGACTGGTTGTGTAGTGTCGGTGTGTCTTTGGCCTCTCTTTGGTCTTTGTTTATGAAAGTTCATCTTTACCAAAACAAGAAGTAAGAGATGAAACATTGAAAAGAATATTTTCAACTAGATATTTTTCCAGGCAAGTAAAGCAGGAATTATCAACCAAAGAGAGTACATGTCAATCATGCCATTTTGAAATGATTTAAAAAGGTTATTTTACTATCACCTACCTATATCAAACGAACTACTTGGAAAAAGAAATCTTATTAAATACTAGACATAGTAGAATGACCTGTTTTGGACAATGACCTAATAAGTACCACCACCCAAGTTTTTGTTTTTTGTTTTTGGTGTCAAGAGCACTTTCATTCCAATCGAAAGAGAAGTACAATAGAGAGCAAGGCTACCAATAGTAGGGGTGGGTGCAGTTTGGTCTAGTTCGATTTTCACCTCACACCAAAATTAGAATAAGTATTATTCAACCAGTGCAGTTCGGTCCAGTTTTGGTAAAAACATTTATAAAACCGTATTCCGGTGCGGTTTTTAATTTTTCAGGTTTCATACAAGATATTTTGTTATATATTTTTTCCAAAAAAAATTTAAAAAACAAATATAACTAAAATTGTATTTTGTGGGATTAAAAATTCACAAATGATCCAATTTCATGCAAAGAGAGATGATTGTGCCTAGAAAAGAAAGGTGCTTAAAAGTTGAACTTGGAGAAATATTAGTTATGGGATTAGAAATTTAGCATTGGAATTAAATAACTTTTTTTTAAATAAAAAAAATGCAGCTCGTCTGGTCCGGTCCGGTGCGGTTTTGTAAAGTGTGAAATTGGCACTAGAATCGATTTAAATCGGTCCGATCCATTTCGTGCATGTTTGTTGACTTTTTAGTCAACACAGTTTCTTTTCCCTTTTTTCCATCCGGTGTGGCTTGGTGTTATGATTTTTCGGTCTCGATACCCACCCATGACCAACAGCCACAAACAGACAACAACAAGGCTACCAACAGCTAGAGAAAAAAGGAAGGCTACCAACAGCCACAACAGAAAAAAATCACAATTGTGATAACTTCTCCAGTCAGAAAAATGATTCATTTCTGGTGTGGGGGTGCACCATAAATTTCTGACGTATGACAAATTTTTCATGGCCGTCACATTAGAGCTGGAGTGTAAACGTGTGAAAGTGCTACTTTTGGTTAGCTACTTGATCCCTTATTTCTTTGGTAGAGTCTCCATTAATGGTTTTATGTTAAAGATTAATCTGAGTCATTAAATCGCATGTCCATTTTTAATTTTTTCTTTGGTTTTCCAGCATCTTTCTGGCAATTATAGCATGTCTGAATTTATTTTTGGCCATCCTTTTTTTTTATTTTTATTGCGGGTTCATTATTATTATTATTATTAGTTTTGGGTACCAATGGAGTGTTTCGTTAAATTGACTTAGACCTTTTTTTTCAGTTAAGTGGTCTTGAAGTTAAGTCTCCATGGCACCTATGCGTGTGAATTTCCCTCTTCTTTATTTTTTCTTGAGAATGACAATGATAATATATAGCGAAGATGTAAAATCCATAGGTATGGATCTGATATGGTCGTTTTATTTTTCATAATCAAAGGGTTATCTGCTTATGGTTGAGTAGCTACACATGTATTTATATGGTCGTCTTCATAACCGTGAAGAAGCTTGGAAATTAAATACATACATTAATACCACGCAGGGCTGTCAGGATGGGCTGTCAGTGAGTAGTACCGCTGATTTTTATCCTCCTTCGAAAATATGTGAAACGTTGGTTTAAAGTTTCATTTATTTATTTTCCTGAGTAAGTACAAGGTAGGTGCACAAAATAATGTGATGACACTATTTTTTTTGTTTATTTATTTATTTTTCAAGAAACAATCTTGTAGAACCAAAAGATACGGAAAGAGCACATGCCCAATTATATCATAAGGGTCCCGATACCTATGCCTGGACTACAAAGTGTACGGATTGGACACAGGGCCCCTACAAAAAATGGGGCTTCCTATTAAATCTTTTTTACCAAGAATATAGTAGCAAAAATGACATTTTATATGTGTTATTGATACTTTATTCTGAAATGTAATGAGCATTTTTATTTATTTTCATATAGTGGGCATTTTTCACTTAAACTAACAAACCTAGAACGTAAGATTGGATTTTATTTGTATTTTTGTTCAAAATGAGTTAAAGTGTTGAACATAAAAAGGTCCAAACTTTTATTTACGCTCATGGCTTCCAAAATTAATGAACCGGCCCTACCAATACCAAACGGATTCAACATCCAATGATAAAGCAAAGCGAGAGCTCATCTATGGGCCACTAGATTGGCCTCTCTAAACAGAAAACTAATGGAAATAACACTCATAGTCTGTAAAAGCTCCTCCTTGCAATCTTCAATATAGATAATGAGAAAACCACCATGACTCGTTTTTTCTATTTTATTTGTATTTTTTCTCAAAGTTAGGAAGGGGATGGGGTTTTCTCACAAACATTGGTAAAGTGTCACCGGGTTTGAACCTGAGATCACTGATTTTCAAGTCAATGCCCTATTCATCGGGAGCTAGAGCGGAAAAATAACAACCAGACTATGAAGTGCGTTGCACTTGAGAACCGTTAAAGCGCATGGGTAGGTCACCCAAAACCTTAAAGGCCAACCGTTTTGGCCTTTTTTTTTTTTTTTTTTGGAGCAAATATGTCCCGTTTATGTATTCCTCCATGTGATGGTTATTTTGTTATAAGTTGATGATATTGTACTCACGGGGAACACTCGAGGTGTCTTCTATACAGTCTAATATACATCTCTCTCATAACATATGGATGATAGAGAGACTCATTATCATTATCTTAGTCATAGGATTTAAAATGAATTGATACTTTTGTTAGCTTCTGAACTCAAAAGTGCAAGCAATAAAAAGATTGAAGAAGCTTAGTATTTTTCTTTGATTTTTTATTGTACTCCAGATGGTAGCAACCAAGAACAAATGAGTTTGATAGTAACATGTGTGGATGTCCCTACTAATCCAATAAAGGTTGAAGAATTCTTTTTGTAATTTTTTATTGTGAATGATACAACAAGACAAGGACTTTATGAAGAGTTGCAGAAGGTGTTGTGAAAACTCAAGCTTGATATTGATAATGTGAGAGGACAAGGCTATGACAATGGATCAAATATGAGTAGGAAATACCAAGGTGTCCAAAGAAAACATTTGGATGTAAATCCTGGAGCATTGTACACACCTTGTGGTTGTCATAGACTTAACTTAACATTTTGTGATATTGCAAACTTATGTGGAAAAGCAAAAGACTTTTTTGGAGTCATACAACATATTTATACATTATTTGCTAATTCTACAAAGCTGTGGAAGATATTGAAAGATAATGTTAAACACTTAACTCTAAAATCGTTGTCAGTTACACGTTGGGAAAGTCGTATTGAAAGTATAAGAGCAATAAAATTCCAAGCTCCAGATTTAAGAGAAGCTTTTGCACTTTTTTTTTTTAAAATTAAAGGTCTAATAAAAGAAAGAAATGATAGATTTCCTTTGCCTGTGGTAGATAGGATTTTGCAAGAATTGTTACACAGGCTAATGACCCTGAATTGACCAGTGTTCCCTTGTTCGAAGGACATTATCTTTAATCATCCTCCCTTTGGGTTAAGGACTTTGGGAATAAGGGCAATATGGGTTTTGTTGAGTTCCTGTAGACAAATTCTTACTTCAGCTAGCAGAAAGTGACGGTGACTTCAAAATAAAAAGTGAAGCTAATTCTTTGGCAACGTATGAATTTGGAAATTTTGAGTTCTTATTGGGGATGGTGATTTGGTATGATATATTAGGTGTTGT